TGAATGGTGAAATCAGTTGGTTGAAAGTCTGTTCATTTTAGTTCTCATCACAAATGCTGCATGTGTTGCTCGCATCAGTACATTGATCTGCAGTGAGTGGCAATATTAGCATGATTTTAGCAATGCCAGCCAGATGAGGTCTTTTCATCAAATGTAAATATGACAGGCTTCGACTTTTTAGATCATATTAAGCTAGAAGTTGAGCCAAACATTTCAGAACATGCTGTGAAACAACATCTCACAAATTATGCATAGCATAAAAATGTAGTCTGCATTCTGTGTTCAGGGCATGTAGCATTTCATGGATGCTAGGACTCTGAATTCGATACATCCTTTTATGGTTTAATGAAAGCCTGAGATGAAAAGGATCACCCAGACATGGACAAATATGTTAGTGAAACCACAAGCTAAATGATACATTGTATTCTTTAAAGGCTTCCAAAAAATCTTACACAGTCAACCCCATTGCTAGGCAGATTTATAGTGTTTAGTATGTGTGCTGTGGTGTGTAACTTTTGACACAACATGCTTTAATGTCTTCTTCCCTTGAAGGGTCAGTCATGGCATCCATGTGGTGCCCTAGATCCTATTGACACAGCTGGCAGGAGGGACAGAGAGGGCATCGGCAGTCAGTTCACCTGACAAACACCTCAAGGGCTTGAGCACTTGAAATCCGATATGTTCATGTAGCCTTAGGGACTCTGGGCACTACCGTGACCTTTTTATTTTGCTTGACTTTGGAGATATTTTGCCAAGTGTTATCCCTGCAACACACTGAATGTAAACCCTGGCCTGCGGTGATCTGATAGATGTCTTTAGTGACAAAGTGAGGAGCATAAAGCAGCTGGTCAAAAAAATAATTATTGGTTGTGTTCATTAGTGGGAATAAGAAACAATACTTGGATTTGACTAAGCACACACCAAGAGGATTCTGAAAATCAATAGTCATGTAGAGTTCATCTGAAAACGAAAAATTAATGCTTCCATTGATTTGGACTGCAGGGTAATATCAGTTGTTGATCATTATTAAGTATTTGAGGTAGATGGAAAATTATTTTGAAGATGAAGCCTGGGGACACCACAACACCGCAAGCCATCACTTTTATGAGATCTTTAACATTTTAAAATCGTATCTTTTATGACTATCCCCTTAATATACTGGATACAGTCTTAATGAAACAGGTAAAACATTTGTTTGAGTAACAGTGAAGAACTGCACTCTAGTACAAATATATCACTCTTTATCGATCAATCTGTCTATTAGGCATTGGGTATCATGAATTAATTCTAGGTTAATGCTAATTTCTACATACTGTACACTGCTGTTCAAAGGTTTGGGGTCGGTAAGATTGTTTAATGTTGATGAAAGAAGTCTAATGCTCACCAAGGCTGAATTTATGTGATCTAAAATAGAGTATAAACTGTTCAATTGTGAGATATTATTGTAATTTAAAATAATATTTAAATTTTAATATATTTTATAAGTAATTTATTCCTGTGATGGCAAAGTTGAATTTTCAGTAGCCGTTACTCCAGTCTTCAGTGTCAAATGATCCTTCAGAAATCATACAAATATGCTGAACTGATGCTCAAGAAACCTTTCTTTCTATTGTTAATGTTGAAAACAGTTGCGCTGCTAAATGGTTTTTTAGAAACTGTGATACTTTTTAAAGTACTGACCCCAAACGTTTGAATACCTTTAACATTTAAAATTTTAGAACTGACCAATAGCTATTGCATCACAAAGAAATATTATTAACAATCATGCATTTATTTTAACCTATATTAATGTAGTTGTGAGTTGAATTCATTGAGTTGAATTCAAACTTATTTACATTTTTAAAAAGATAAAGTGGATAAAAGATTTGGTGCAAAAGTGTTTATTTTTAACCAAAAGAATCTCAAACACCATGGTGATTTTCCATCAGCATGTCAAAATCAATACTGGTTTCAGGAACAGGATAAAGAAAGATTTTTTATATTGTTCCGTTTTCTGCTAAAGAGAAGCAACATAGTTTATATTGATCTGTTAATATTTCTCTCTCTGTTTAGAGTACACTATAAAAAGACTCAAATGTAGCCATTACGTACGAGTATGCAGAATTTCAGGTACATATAAAGTACATACGTCTCCCTTTTAGAACGTATTTGATATTAAAGGCGAGTGTCTCGTATGCTGTACTAGTCTACAGATGATTTTGTACACACGGCTGTCAAAGGCTAAAACAGCTTCAGCCTCCATACACACTCTGAGATTATATGATGAAGAGCTGCTACTAAAACTTTGTTCATTGGGATCAAACCTTACGTGAGCGATGCCTCCACAAACCTGCAGTTTCTCTGATTCATTTCTCAAAGCTTCTTTTATATTGAACAAAAAATTATGAGATCAAAAGGTTAACAGATTTTCTCTTTCAGTTGTTTTCTCCCCATCTCTTCTACTTCAAATGAAAATCTTTAAAGTGGCACTTAGAAAACATCCACAAGGAATTCTCATTTTTATTTTAGAACAAAATTTACAAAGCCATTCAAACAGTCTGTATTGTAGGTAATTATTTCTTTTAAACTCAACTTCAAAAAAATCATGAATATTCAAAATACACTTTTGACTTCACTGCTGTCTCTCATTATATACAAATATGTACAGGCAAGGAAAGTCAGCGTCTCACAGTCGTATGTATCTGTACTGAAAAAAGAGCTCTCCATATCTGTTTGTATGTAAGTAATTGTATAAATGCAACCAGACCTGGTCCAAACCTGGTTTTTGTGATTGGCTGGCTGGCAGTCTTTAGAACGCTCAGACCGGTTGCTCAAATAGAGGTCCCATGGCTTGGATCAATGGCTTCTGGGATGGGTCCCCTGGGCATTGCCTGGTAAGAGATTGGCATCGGTGTCTTTACGGGGCTCTGGCGGAAAAGGCCTCCGTTGGGCGCCCGGTGTTTGCAGCGCATGGAGGGTGGCAGAGTGCAACTGCTGAGAGGGAGGGGGAGGCTCCGTCCGGGCACGCGGCCGACCCCAGGACCCTCCTGGAGGAAGGAAGTCACGGACAGGCCCCCAGGGGGGAAATCTCTCATGGCTTCCTGGGAGCTCTGCTGTGGCCGCATGCTGCCCATGTCCAGGGCAGAGATCTCCAGAGACTGACCTGGCAGCTGCTTGTGTGCCAGATCGTCCTCCATCAGCCCACTCAAACGCTGGTGAACCTGCTCCAGATTCACCTCTTTGTCCTGGCAATGACAAAGAAACAGGGAGATTGAGACAGAGTCTAAGGCGAGGGGAAGATGAAAGGGTGGGAATTGATTTGTGGGGTGGAAAAAGGCAAGAAAGAAAGAATAAGCGAGAAATGAAAAGTGGACGGGCACTGGAGCAAGAACAGATGTGAATGAAAATGACGTGGAAGTGTGTGCAATCTTTTAGAAAAGAGCAGAAGGTGTTTACCAGGGGCTCCAACAATCACATCAGCTCTGATTAATGATACCAATTACACAGCGTACTACTGACAGCACAGAATAATCTTATAAAAATAAAATAAAATCCATCTCTACTCCCACCCGCTCCAGCAAGCAAAAGGTCGGAATTGCAAAAAAAAGCTTCATATCGGAAAAGTTACGAAATTAGAGAAATCACTGATGCAAATGAGAGTGAGTGCAGGGAAACATGGGCCATAAATTTAATTGCAAACACATGCTTTGGTGCTTCAGTGTTTCGGGCTTATTTCAGAGGAGCCTTGAAAGGAGCCTTCTTCATTCTTTGATACGCACTGCCGTGAAATAGCTTCGGTCATGCGTCAGTGATGCCGTGGCGTGCCCCTTAATGAAAGAATCAAGCCAACATTGACAGGCTGCTAACTGCTTACATTTTTTCCCACACAGTCATTTAATTCTCATGCCATGCATCCTCCATAATAGAATGAGGAGGATGAACTTGATACTGTCAAGCATTCATTCAACACCGATAACTGTTACATCCAGGACTACTCTTTTAATCACTGTTCTTCTTCTCTGTTTTATGCAAGTCAGTTCAGTAATACATCCTTTCCATTTAATGGGATAGTTTCCGTTAAAATAATTCCGTTATCATTTACTCACTCTCATGTTGTTCCAAACCTGTATTACGTGGAACACAAAAGATGATTTTGGACCCCACTGACTTTCATTATACGGACAAAAACATGCTTTAAAATATCTTCTTATGTGTTTCGCAGCTAAAGCAATCCATTCAGGTTTGGAATGACACAGGAGCGAGTAAATTAATTTTCACTTTTGGGTGAACTGGTCCTTTAACGCAATTGCAGAGGTCTTAGGTCTCTAGCACGGTCGATACCAGCGAATCAGCTGTATATTCTACAGTTTTGTAGCGTTTATGGGTAATTAGAGGTGTCACATTATGAGACTATGTTTCTGAGTCATAAGATCAATGAAGAGATAATTACTGCAGAGCTCATGCAGCTGTAGTAGAAAGTCTGAATGTGGCTCTAATTAAAAATGCATTAATTCACCATTAAAATACACCCAATTTGGGGCACTTACAGCTGTGACAAACAACACAACTGGAGGCCAGTCTCCTTTTGGATTCCAGATTGCAATATTTTGGGACATCAGTGTGGCCACTGAATGGGTGATCTGATGGATGACAATCAGATGATGAATATGATGAGTATGTGGAGCAAAATGGATAGGCACACAGTGGGATTCCAGTTAGTGCTGTTTTGGCAAAGAGATTCCATGAATAAAATCATCACTTTGCAGTCTCTAAACAGAAAGTACTTATTACTGAGTATGTGGAGCGAAATGGAGAGGCACACAGTGGGAGAGGCACACATAGTGCTGCTTTGGCAAAGAGATTCCATGAGTAAAATCATCACTCTAAACAGAAAGTACTTATTAATCCACACAACATGGATGAATTAATGTCTCTGACTCTGCCTGTGTCTCTGTCATCAGTTAGTTCTCTTTGCATGAGTGAGTCATAAATACTTCTCCACCCACATATATAATCTGATTGATCTGGAATCCTAACCCACTCCAGGAGGACGCTTGTCCTTCCTCTAAATGACTCTACATTGTCAAGCCCTGTTCACCCCACTGACAGGTATTCCTTGCTCAGGTCTCGGCTGACCTGTGTAAAAAGCCTGCGTGTCTTCCCAGTCTCTTTCTCTCTCTGGCCAAACGTCCCGTGTGCATCCTGCAGCAGTTGCAATTTCATTATATGCCAATGACCCAGACGCCATCTCCAGAGTGCAGCCCTTAGTGTCCTGTATGAGACCACAGAGAACCCGTGACTGCCTAGACATTGGCATATAATTGCAATAAGAAGACACAGAGAGGGATATAAAACGTAAAATGTGTAAAGTTGGTTATCGTGTGGTTCTTATTGCTTGCCAGAGCTCCAATTACTCCCTGCTTACAGTGTATCATAAACCAAACAAAACCATACACAAAAGAAACACTCAAATTGTACAGGAATACGGCAGACTGAGCACCTTAAAGCAAGAACAAGGAGCTGGTTGGTGAAAGCAATATAGTCTGAAAGCTAGTAAAAGATCTTATCTCTTTATGTGCTGTTAATTCAAATCCAGTCAAATTTCAAGCAGTTGACAAATGGTAGTCATAAAACAGATATCTGATCATTATTATTCAACAATGTCTGTAAAATGTAATACTATGTTATCGACAATCAACGTTCCTGAACTATAATATGTGGTTTATGAGCTATTGCTCTCACCAACGTGCTTGCCTCAGCTCAAGATATCACCAAAGGGAAAAGAGAGAAGGAGAGGAGACAAGGACGGAAGAGTAACTGCAGAACACTTGAACATAAGTCAATAAGTCACTGGCTTTCTCACTGCACACACTTTAGTTTAGGGATCCAGGTACAACCTTTGCCCTAACAACCTAGCAGAAGCAGCAGAAGTAGTATAATTGAGTGATATTGCAAATTGGGGATGTTTGTATGCAGAAAGCTAC